TTTCTTGCTATGAAAATAGAAAAAAAGAAATAAATATTATCTATTCAAAAAAAAAAAAATATAATGTTATAAATTGAAATGCCAAAACAATAATATAACAATAATAAAAATATAATAAAGCAACAAAAAAAAAAAAAAAAAAAAAAAAAAAAAAGGAAATATAGAAAATATAAATGCAAATCACTTTTACATATTTTATAAATAATTGTATAAATAAAAAAGTGGGAAATTTAATGAACATTTTTTTATTTTTTCATTATATATTGAAAAATTATCTATTATTTTTACACTTTGAATAATTAGCATATTTTTTCTATTTTACTTATTGCATTTTTTTTTTTTTTTTTTTTTTCCATTAATATATTTTTATTATTGTTATATTATTGTTTTGGCATTTCAATTTATAACATTATATTTTTTTTTTTTTGAATAGATAATATTTATTTCTTTTTTTCTATTTTCATAGCAAGAAACTTAAAAAAAAAATATAAAACCCGATAATCTTGTAATGATAAATATTAAATTTTTTTTTTTATGTGCATAATTTTTTATGTTTATAAATTTTTTTTTTTTTATATGACATATCTTTTTTCTATTTTTTTTCAAAAACTTTTAGAATGTTCAGGATAAATTTTATTTTTTAATTTTATATGCATCAATTTTATCAAAAATACCTTACACCATTAAGATATTTTTAAATGACATCTTGAAATAAATATTATTTTTATTTTATCGACTTTTTAAATATGGAAAAAAATATTTTAAAGAAATATAGGAGTTTTTTTAATTTTGTTTCTGATATAAAAAATAATATCGAAAAAGAAAATAGCTTAAAATTTAGTCAAGAATTATATATGAAAAATATATCTAAGAGCAATTATAATGTTAAAAAGAATACTAACCAAATATATGATAATAAGCTTTTCTTGAAATACTGGGTGAGAAAAAAAAGACCAGGAGCTAGAAATTAAATATGAAGGAATTTGTTTTTTTATTTTGTTATTGTTGTTTTTTCATAATTATTAATATAAACTTTTAAACTTTTTTTTTTTTTTTTTTTTTTTTTTAATACATATATTTTTTTTGAAATATTTACTAAACTTGAATTTTAACGAAAATATTAATACAGAGAATGTAAGAAAGAAACATGTTAAGGAACATTATATTTTTAAGAAAATTGTAATTTTTAATTAGTATATTTTAGAAAAAAATTTTAATTTGCAACAAACTTAAGACAATTTTATTCATATTTTCACTTGTATTTATATTTCTATTAAATACTTAAAAAATTATTAAAAATAACAGAGTGAATATTTTTTACTCTTATTAAATGTAACAAATTATAAATTATCACATAGTGTTGATTTTTATACGAAATTTGTCTGAATTATGTTATGCATATTATATATATTTCTATACCTTGAAAATAAGAGTTTTTTTCTTTTTTAATTTATATTTGTATTTTTATTATATGTGTAAATCGACATTATGTATATAAAAAAAGATTTATTATTAATATATATAAATATATTTCATATGCATATTATTTTTAATTATATATAATTTAATATCAAATAATCCTAAAAATACTATATAAAAATTTATTTTTTTCTATATAGTATTATACTATTAAGAAAGTCTTTCAATTTTTTTTTAAGAAAATTTATTTTTTCTTCTAATATTTTAAAGTTTTACGAGAAATAGTTACATATAAATATTTCTGAAAATAAGTAAATAGTTAATTAAAATTATATATTAAATTATTAATATATTTAATTTTATATTTTTGCTTTTTGCAAATATTAACTTGGAAAAATACTAAAGTCTTCTTTTTTTAATATGAAAACATATTATAATAGAAATAATAATTCAGGTATTTATATTGTACTTTTTATGAATTTTAAAATTTTATTCTTTTATTTTAGTATAATTTCGTACGAGGAAATTAAAGATTTTAATAGAAATTGGGTTATTTGCTCATTTTATGTCTCAAAAAGAGAAAAAAAATGATTATAAAAATTAAAAGCGTACTATATACAATTAAGAAGAGAGTTTGTAATAACTCAACTAAAACACTTGGGGTAATAAAAAGGATTTAAAAAAAAATATATTATATTCATGACTATGGTAAAATAGCAGAATTAAAATTTTCAACAGTTAGAAAAAATTTCTTTATAAAATAGTTTTTTTAATGAATATACTGGATATATTTTTATAAAAATTTTAGAAATTAAATAGAAAAAAAAATAAGATGTACAAAGGATTTTTGTTTTATATATTATCTTCTTTTTTAAATGAAAGAAAATACATTAGAATTTTAAAGAACTTTTTTATTTTTTTATAATATATAATTATAGAAATCATAGTATTTAAATATTTTTAGAATAGTTTTTTATTTTTATTATTCAAATTGAAAAAAAGCTTCTCCTTTTTTTAAAAAAAAAAAAGAAATTATATTATTTTACAAATTCTAAAAGTGCTACTTAAAACAATGAAAAAAATGTAAGGTAATTTTACAATATAAATAAATATATATATACATATATATTTATTTTAAATTATAATAATAAATAAGAAATTCTCTTTTAAATTTGCTAGGAAAAATAGTGTGCAAATTTAAAAAAAAAAAAAATTCGCGGCTATTAAAATAATTCTATGAGAAATTTTTACAAAAAAATATAATCTTGAATTCTATAATATTCTGTATTAGAAAAAAAAAGTTTTAAGGTGTGTATATACATGAAAATTATTTTATTTTAATTTTTTTTTTTTTTTTTTCATTTATATTAATTTCTTTTTTCAAGTATTTTTTTTTTTTTTTTTTTTTTTCATTTATATTAATTTCTCTTTTCAAGTATTTTTTTTTGTTTTTTTTAGTCTTATTTTTTTTAATAATTTATTTTTTCTTTTTTTTATTCTTGATTGTAAAATTTTCATGTTCTCCATTGTGATGCAATTTTATTTCATAATTTATGTTTATCTACATTTACATATAGAAGACATTTAAAAAACAAAGAAAATAATAAAAGAAATTTAATAAATATTTTGTTTCTCTTTTTTTCTTATTTTATATGTTTTTTTAATTATTAGTTGAACTAATAAAGAGACTTTTATTTATATAAATACATTGTTCTATTTTTATATAAAAGAATGAATCTATTATTATTGATAATTTTTTTTTTATTATAACCCTTTTTTATTAATTATATTTTTCAATAATAAATATTTTTCAAATAACAGATATTTATCTTAAATAATTAGAAATTTATTTCAAATAATAGATAGTAAATAATATTTTTCAAATGGTTTTCCTTACACATTTATTTCTTTTTTTTTTTTTGATATCCTATTATATATGTTTAATTATATATTGTTATTAGTCGATATTTTTGTTTTAATTCTAAATGAAAAAAAAAAAAATTATATATTATACTTTTTCTTAAAATGTAGCCTTATTTGTATTTTTTTTTATTCATTTTTTTTTTTTTTTTTAAGATATTTATTTCATTTTTTGTAAAAGTAACTTTGTTTATATATATGCAAAAATTTATATATATAAATACTTTTGTGAAATAAAAATTATCTCATAGAGATAGTGAAAATATTCTAATTAAAACAAATTTTTTTATTTTACACATATTCACTTTATTGTTTTTTGTGAAAAAATATAAAGAAATAATTTAGTGAAAAAAAAATTACTGTTTTTATTAATTTTCCTGAGTTAACATAATACATATGCTTATATTTTAGCTTTTATTTTCCTTAAATAAAAGAAAAAAAATACATTTTATTAAATATATGTATATATATTTATTTTTATTTTATTTTATTATATATATATATATATATATATATATATATATATATATATATATATATATATATATATATATATATATATATATTTTATTATTACTTTTTTAAGAATAAATTGAGTAAAATAATTAGATTATAAGAATTTATTTTTCTACTAATATATATATTTATAATTAGAATGAATTTGAAATATAACCATTTTATGAATTTGTCAATTGAAAGATATCAAATATTGAAATCAACAAAAAAAAAAAATAGCAAAACACATATAATAAGAAATAAAAAAAAAATTATATACAATGAAAAAAATACTTATAAAATTATTAGTTATAATAAAATTTTTGTTAATAATATTAAAATAACAAAAAATAGTAAATTGCTTAATACAAACATTAGGAACTATGAAAATGTATTGAAAAAAAATAAAGTCTATATAAAGAAACAAAAGTTAAAAAAATCTCATTTCATACCAGAAAATTTAGATATTTATATGAGAAAAAATTGTATGTATTATTCAAAAAAAAAGTTATCCGAAAATAAGAGTGTAAAAAATAACAAAAAAGACAATAATTTTAGCATTGATAGTAATAAAATTAATCATTTAAACATATTCAATAATAGCAATAATGATATTTCCATTTCTAATGGTAATGATAATTTGAACATAGAAGTAAATAATAATTGCATATCAAGAAATATTATAAATAATACAAGTAATATTTCTAACACTAAAAATGAAAAATATGATAACATGTCTAACTTTCAAAATGGTAATTTAAATAATGATACAAAATTACATGAATTTTCCATTAATAATGCAAAAGATAAAAAAAAGAAAAAAAAAAAAATTAATGATATATATAAGGATCATTCTAACTACACTAATGATGATTTATTAATAAAAAAATTAAAATTGAAAAATCTAACTAACAACTCCTTATTAGACACAAATAATATATCTGTAGGTGACAAAATGAAAAATTTATTCAAAATTAATAATAAAAAAACCAATCAAATATTATTAAGTAACAAAAATTGTGTAAATATCGATTTATTAGATGATCAGAAATGTACTAATAAAGATAATTCATTTAAATGCTTAAATAAAACTATAATTAATAATAATAATATTGAGCTGTTAAAAAATAATAAAAACAAAATATTAGTAAAGAATAGTGTAAATGTATCTTCAATTAATAAGGAACAAGAATTTAATCAGCAAAAAAACATAAAAAGTAAGGAAGATTTAAAAAACAATGCTTTGAGGATACTATCAAAATATAACTTAATCTGTCATATAAATGAAAATTATGATATTATAGAAAAAAAAAATAGAAAAAATATATTCAATTCTGAAAATTTTACAGATAGTGAAATAGAAAAATATAAGTTATATAAAAATAAAATTAATGCAAGAAAAAATATTTTAGGAAATTTTTATACAAAGAATTATAAAAAAGATTATTTTTATATAAGCAAAGATAGCAACATAAATAATTTCAAAAATATTATAATAAAGAATTTAAGTTTTAAAAAAAGTATTGTTAATTCATGTAGACACAGAGAATGTTCAATTGAAAATTTAAATAAAATTACAAATGAAAATATAATTGAAAATAAAAATAAAACTTTAAATGAAAAATTAAGAAATGATGTTGTTGAAAGTTCTAATGTGTGTTGTGATTTAGACAAAAACACGCATACAGACATTCCTGAGAATGTCAAAATTTTTAATGGATTTTCAAACTATGAAGAAATACCAAATGAACAAAAAGGATTTAATAAATCTACATTAAACAGTGTCATAAATAATTTTAACTTATGTTTTGATTATTCTTCTATATCTGATTTCTCATTAAATCATGCAAACAAAAAACAAAATAATAAAATAGTACACACAAACGAAAATTCTACATGTGATGAAAAAAAAAATTCAGAAAAAAACTTCTATTATGAAGATACAAAAAAGATAAAAAAGAATTTCATAAATAAAAACACAGTATGTAATTATAATATAAACAACACAAATATGTGTGAAAGTGCAATAACAGATAAAGAAAAAATCTACAACAAGGAAAAATTAAAAAAAAACGCAAATTTAAAAAGAAACTTAGATAATGATTTGAATTATAATTCAAATAAAAAAATGAAAAACGAAGAATATTCTTTAATTAATTTTAATATTTATAAAAATAATGTAACTGACATATGTAAAAATAATAGTTATAATACTTATATATTAAAAAGTCTTGGTAATTCTTATTTGAAAAACAAATTAAATTGTAAAGATACAAAAGTAAAAACTGATAACGCTCCTAAGATAAACGCATTTGATAGATATCCGAATAGCTTTAATTTAAATAAAGAAGGTATATTTAATAATAAGAATAATAAATTAAATGAAAATGAAATTAAAAATTTGCAATCTAAACTCATAAAAAATGAAATGGATAAAAAATTGAATGCTACAAAAATTATCATAAATAATTGTGAAGAAAACAATTACATTAAACAAGAAGACGAATATGATCAAAATGATAGGGAGAATATTGATAATTATGAAAATGAAAATTTTAAATGTTGTAAAGTTAATAGCTTTACTAATAAAAAAAAAAACTCTATTCAAAAATTAAGTATAAATAATGCCGATAATTCAGCTAGTGATGAAGTGAATTATACTAATTTTTTAAAAGATAAAGATATTGATATATTTAATTTAGATTTACGTGATATAGTAAAGTTATTAGAAAAAGAAAAAATTGAAAATTTATATAGTGAAGAAGAATTAAAGAATTTATTAATTCCTGTCAATGGAATTTATTATGATACAAATAAAAAAAGTTGGATATGCAAATATATTGACATAAAAAATGTGAATCATAATGAATTAAATGGATATTTCTTGCTGAAAGAACAAAACAATGCAGAAAATTTGAAAAAAAAAATATTTTCTACAAAAAGTTTCTCATATCATGAATCTAGACAATTAGCATTGGAATTTAAATATAAACATGTTAAAAAAAAATATAGTATTTTAAAGAATTTAAGTGAAGAAGAAAATATATTTTTTAAGTCAATTAATAATCCTACGGAAAATAGCAAATACACAAAGCTTAAATATGATAAAAAGGAAGAAGGTAGTAATGAATATGATGAAGAAAAAGAAGAGAATGAAAAAGAAAATGAGATGCAAAAAGGAGAATCAAAAGAGGAGCAGAATAAAAATATTAAAGGAGAGTATAAAAAAGAGGAAAAGAAAAAAACATATAGTTATGATAAAAAAAGTAAGAACTGCAGTTTATATAATAGTATGAATAAAAATGTGGGTGAAATAAATTTAAATAAAACATTAAAAATATTAAATAGTGAGATAACACATAAGTTGTATAAACCTTTACTAAAATGTAATGTGAATGAAAATGACTCTATTAGCGAAATAAAAAATGATGAAAATAAAAATAATTGCATTATAGACATTAACAATATAAATAATGATAATATAACAAATTTGAATAAGTGTACTAAAGTAATGGTGAGTAATGATAATTATAGATTAATAAATGAAAATGATAATTTTGACAGTTATAATAAGAATCAAAATTATACATATGATGATAATAAATCATATATTAGTTTTAAAACAAAGAAAAATTTATGTAAATTATTAGGTGTAAACGTATCGGATGACATAGAAGAAAAGATGAAAAATTTACACAAAGAAAATATATTTTATGAAAAGGAAGAAAAAAAATGGGTCATCAAGATATATGAAAAAAAAAGCAATATACTACTTTATTTCAAAGAATTTGATTGTAAAGTGTTTGGATTTTTATATGCCTGTTATTTAAGTATAGAACACAAAAGGTTATATCTAGACTATTTTTTAAATGAAAAAAATTATAATTTTTTGATAAAATTAGTATATAGGAGTTGTATAAATAATAAAATGCATAACACAATAGCTCGACAAATCAGTTTAAATAAAAATCATAACTATTCTGTAAAAGATGTTAATGAAATTAAAAAGAAATTGAAAATAAAAAATTTAGAAAAATACAGTCTAGAAACTATAGATAAGGAACACAGATGTTTAGAAATAAATACTATAGAAAAAAACAATATAAGAACAAAGAATTTAGAAGAAGAATATGTTAAAACGGATTTTGAAAAAGAAAACTTAATTTTCCATAATATATCTAGTAATAATTCAGAAAAACCTAAAGATTGCAAAAATAGAAATTGTAAGGATTTAGAAAAAGATAAGATTTTTATTGATGAAAAAAATAACTCACTAAGTAACTTTCAAAAAACAAAAAATCAAACTGCCAATAAATTGAGTGGTCTTTCTTGTTATTTGGAAAACAATTTTGAAAAAGGATTTTCTAAAACTTTGAATTCAGATTCAAAACAGTATAGGAACATTAAATGTATAAAGTATAATAATGATATAGAAAATGAGAAAAAACATGTAAAAATTGAAAATATTAAAGAAAAAGAAGAACATAAAGAAGATCAGGGACAAAAAGAACAATGTAATAGTAAAGAAGACCAGAAAGAAAATGATGATAACAGAAAAAAAGATGAAAGTTATAATTTTAATACAAATAACAACATTACATTAAACTTAAATTTTGGTAGAAATAATAATTCAAATGAAAATAGTAGTAGCAATATTACTGCTGTAAATTTATACAAAAGCTACACAACAGAAAATAATGAAATTCCAAAGGATCAGATGCAAAATGTTCATGAAAAAAATGAAAAAAAAAAAAAAAAAAAAAAATACTCTTCTTTTTATAAAAAAACAAAAACTGTGAAGAATTCATTAGTAAATTTAAAAAATAGTAATGTAACATCAGATATATTGCAAGAAGAAAGAAATAATTTGATAAAATTGGATTCTTATGTAGACATACTAAGTCAAAAAAGTGATATAACATCATTAGCTAAACAAACAATTCTTTTACTTTTAAAAGACATTTTAAATTGTATTCCATTTCAAATGGCTCCTTCAATTACATCCAAAAAAATTTATGATCAAAAAATTCATGCTCACATTAAATTTGTTTATCAATCAAAAAATCTTTTTGACTTAATGCCATATTTTTTTATATTTAAAAATATTATTAAGCAGAAAACTCTTCCTAGTAACCAATCATTATACATTTGTAATGTTTTATTATATGCCTTGTTTGAGGCATAAAAATATAAAAAAAATGATTTATAAAACTTACATTCTACTGAGAATTAACATATTTTTTCTTTTTATGATTATATATATGTATATATAAATCATGCATTTTTTTTCTTTTATTTTTACTTTAGAAATATGTGTAATAATTTTTATAATTAATATTTGTTTTTTACGATATTCATTTCTTAAATAGTTTGATGCCAAGCTATTACTAACTATATATATATATATATATATATATATATATATATATATATATATATATGTAGCAAAAAATAAGATAATAAAAATTAATAATTAGAAAAAATATACATATATATTTTTCTGTTTTTTTTTTTGGTGATTTTTTTAAAAAATAATTAACTAAAATTTGCGAAAACAAATTACTAGATTACAAAAAAAAAAAAAAAAAAATATAATACAACAAACTAAAATTAACCAAAAAATGAAGTGAATTGTTCATAAAAAATATGTACATTAATAAAAAAATTAGTTAAAATATTTACATATGAATTAACATTTCATATAATTAAAGATAATGTTTATACAAAATAAAAAATTCATTTAATTGGTTTGCAGACAGCATTAAAAGCTTTTACAGGATTTACATAAAAAAAGAAATCGTTATTTTTTAAAGAAATAGAAGCTTTTGATACATCATAGTCGTTATCGATACTTAAAAAATTAATCATGTCTGATAAAAAATTTAAAATAAATTCACAACTTTTTTTGTTTGTATCTGTATTTTTCATATTATCATAAAAAGAAAGTGAAGAAATTGAAGATGAATCAATTAAAAATGAATCATTACTATTCATATGATTCGTTAATAATTTCGATTTTTTTTCTAAAATATGGAAATATTGGGAATTATCACTACTTGAATTAAAATTTTGATGGTTTTCTTTATTTTTGTTATTAACAATATCCGTAACATTGTTAATTAATTCATCATATTTGTTATTTTTGATGATGCATAAAACATGCTTAATATAATTATTTATATAATAAATTGTTTTAACTATATTATATCTAATATTACTAATTTTATCCTTACTCAATTCATCTATAATATTTAAAATATTATTTTCTATATATTTTAATGGAAAATATATAATTAATTTTGATATATATTGTAAACAATTAATTCTCAATATATAATTACTAGACTGTTTTAAATCATTTAATAAATATGTTATTCCTTTTTCAAAAAAATTAAAATTTTTATTTTTTATTAGAAATTCTAACGTTTCAACCACTGCAATCCTAATTGAATAAACCAAATCTTTTGCACCTGCATCTATATAATTCCAGAAGTCTTTATAGTTAGAAGTAATATTTTCTTTATTTTGAAAAAAGAAAAAATGATCAAAAAATTTTAAATAGTAATACAAAGAATATTTTAACCTCCAATTTTTGTTTTTCACAATTTCATGGCATAATGGAATTATTATTTGTTTCATATCAAAAAAAGATATTAGTTTAGATATTTTATGCAAACATACAAACAATTCAGATTTTAAATCGGTTTCTTCTATTCTAATAAAAAGTAAAAATAAAGGTAATATATATTCAATAGACCCATTTTTGTCTAAAATATCTGGTAATGAACACAATAATCTACATAATGATATTTTTAAATGTAAATTATTACTATCAATATCTCTTTTTAAATCATCAAATACCTCATCAATTATATTTATTGTAATTTTTGAAGATGTTAATATTTTGTCTAAATTATTTAAAATGATACTGCGCACATTACTATCTAAGTCTTTTAATAATAATAATACTATCATAGATAAGTCACTATTTTTTAGTATTTTTAAAATTTCATGAATATTATTAGCTAAAATTGCTCGCACTCTCCAACTATCATCATTACATATATTGGTTAAAATATGCTCTATATTGTTTACAAAATTTATATCATTATTTAAAATTTCACTTAATATAGTTACTGCACTAATTTGAACTTCATCTAGTCCATTAATAGAATAAAAAAAACTTGAATATATTTCTTTCGATTTTTTCCATAATTTTTCTATAAATAATATTTTTTCTTGATCATCTTCTTCTTCCATATCATTTTCTTCTCTTTTATCTAATTCATTTTTCTCTAACTCTTTGTTATTTTCATCTTCTTTTTTTTCTCTCTCTTCTTGTTTTTCTTGTTTATTTCTATTATTTTTTGTATGTTTTAAAAAATCTTTTTTTGTATTATCTTTATTAACTTTATATGTATCACTGTTGCTTCTAATTTCTTCACTATTTGCTTTTATCTGTTCTTCACTTTTTATAGAATTACCATGATTGTTTAATTTATGTCTGTATGATTTCAAAATTTTTAAAAAATCACAAAATTTATCACAACATGATTTTTTTACCAATATACATTGATCCTGACACAATTCCATAAATAAATAAATAAATATTTTAGTATATTTCGATTGATTTTCATATATACATCTTTCTATTATTAGTGGTAATATTTTACTAACTCCAATGCGATAATTATCACTTTCATTTTCAGCTAATTTTATTATTTTGGGATAAATTACATTTATTAAAGTGCTACTATCACACTTCTGTATATATATTTTAAAGGCATTATATCCATTTATATTTATTTCTTTTTCATACTTTATTAAAAAACTCAATATTAAATCACACAAATACTCACAGTTGTTAACATCATTTATAAAATTCGTTAAAAAAATTAAATGATTTGATAATTCATTTAAAACATCAGAATCATCCTCAATTATATTATATAAAAATTCAATTAACTCATTCTTTGTTTTTTCATGGCCAATTATTTCACATAAGAATTTTAATCCTTTTACATATTTTAATCGTATTTTGCAATCCGATGATTGAATTCCGTCTATTATTTCTTGCGCTTTTGTATAACACATTTTTTTTTTCTTTTTTTCAATTATTACTTTTATATCAATATGGATGTATATATATATATAACAATATATTTTTTCTTTTTATGTAACTTAACAGATATATTTTTTTTTTTTTCTTTTTTTACATGAATGTAAAATAAAATTTTACATTTTTTTTAAACTATTATTTAACATTTTTTTTTTTTTTAAAATTAATTGAAATTATAAAATTTTCCTCTAATTATTAGTGTAAATATAAAAAAATATATTTTCCTTTTAAATTATTTTTATATAAAAAATTCTTTGTTTTTCTATTTTTATATATATTTTAGTAATTTCTATCATGATGTTACAATATTTTATTTTTAATTTAATTTATTTTATTTTAGTTTATTTATATTTTTTTTTTTTTTTTTTTTTTTTTACATTTTTTTATAATCAGATA